CAGCTGAGATCAGGGCCCCGTTGTGCCGGGCGCTGCACAGACACACACAGAGAGACAGTCCCTGCCCCAGCTGAGATCAGGGCCCCATTGTGCCAGGTGCTGCACAGACACACAGCGAGAGACAGTCCCTGCCCCTAAAAGCTCACAGTCTAAATATTTCACTTATATATGGTTTTCTCCTGGGCTTTACTCCTGCTCACCTGGACTGCTGCTTCTCGGGATCTCCCTGTCCTCAGAGGCCTGGAGATCTGGGACCCACGGTTCTTCCCCTCGTTCCATCCAGGAGAGCAGGTCAGGCTTAGAAATCGGAAATCCCGCTGGCAGGAGGAGAGAAGAGGACAGATTAAGTGTTGATGGGATACTAATCAGGCTGGGTTGATTGTTTTACAGTAGCACATAGAGGCTCTAACCGAGATCAGGGCCCCATTGTGCCGGGCGCTGCACAGGCACACAGGGAGAGACAGTCCCTGCCCCAGCTGAGATCAGAGCCCCGTTGTGCCAGGTGCTGCACAGACACACAGGGAGAGACAGTCCCTGCCCCAGTTGAGATCAGAGCCCCGTTGTGCCAGGTGCTGCACAGACACACAGGGAGAGACAGTCCCTGCCCCAGCTGAGATCAGGGCCCTGTTGTGCCGGGCGCTGCACAGACACACAGGGAGAGACATGAATTGACTCCAGCACATGGTCCGTGGTTAAGAAAGGGGCTGGACCATCTCCATGACATGCATTTGACACCCTGACCTAGGTAGACGGATCAGAAAGACACAAAGGGAAAATGCTACAAACTCAGTATCTTTCCCCTAACTCCCTTTCAAAGCCCAAGGTCGTGGATTATCATTGTGGGCCCAAATCCTGTGGGATCTGGACACAGGAATCCGTCAGGGTTTTTGGAAATTCCAGCCTGAATTATTCAGCTGGGTGAAAGCCTTCCCCATGGAAGCCCCTCAGCCAACAGATCCAGTACAAAATCCCCTTGGCTTCAAGTAGCAAGAGCCACTGGTCATTCTATTTCTGAGACAATCACAACCTGGCATCCCTTAAAGGGACCTGGGTGGGCACAGGGCGGCTGGGTGAATAACAGATGTTTTGGTTCACTGCATGTTCCAAAGAAATTGAGGGGGGAAAAAACATTGTTCCGGGTGGAACCAAAAATGATTTCCTTTTTTTTTTTTTTTGAAATGTTGGGGAAACCAAAAAGGTAAAAAACCCCGGACGCAACATTTCCTTTTGCCAACCGTTGTGTTTGGATTTTGACCGTTCTGGAACGGTTTTTCCTGGCTCATCGGTTCCCTTAAAGAAAAGGAGACGTTTGAAACAAAATGTCCTCTCGAAGCGGAAAATTGGACGGTTTCGTTTGGGAAAAGGTCGAAACGCTTCAATTTTCCAGAATTTTTTTTAGAGTTTTATTCGACCGCAACAGGCACCAATTCGCACAACGCTTCGGGGTCGCTGCCGCTGTAGTTTTCGTCCACAGAAAGGTTCCTTCAAAACATTTAATCCACCTCTGCTCGGGGCTTCCAGGCCTCCTTGAGAGGTGGCTCAAATAGGACCCCCCCCCCCCCCCCCGAGTCACTAACGGCTTTTGCAAATCTCTCGTCGCCTCCAACTCGCAGGGACTTACCCGACACCAGCTCCCTGCGGTGGGATTCGGCCATCGCGGTGATCCGCGGCATGCTGATGGCCATCTCTTCTGCTAACAAGAAACGGATGAGACGGCGATTAGACGCACCGCAGGCCGGGACGGTCTTGCCTGGGACAACCACCAGCCCAGCTCCCCTTCCCTTAGCAAAAGCAGCGCAAGGCGAAAGAAGACAGATCAAGAGTGCAAGATCTGCTCCATAACCGTTGACTTTCCACTGACTTCAGATCTCCCTTACGGGGCTCCCTATTGCCACAGGATCTGAGTTTCTTTCAGTGTCTAATTAGGCTTTGGGAGAATTCAATTTTTATTTCGGTATCATTTGGATGGAGAACATCCATGTTTATTTTTAAGCATTTTTTAAAATTATCATCAATTTCAGTGCTCACGGTTGTGGGAAATTATGGGGGGCGACCCCCGAGAATAATTCTCTAATGACAGTAGACGTTGCGATTCAGAAAGTTAAAGCTTTATAATGGTTAACACACAACTGGTCAACCTCACATCAGATCTTGCTCTAGGAATTATTTCGGGGCAGTTCTCTGGCCTGTATTAGGCAGGAGGTCAGACAAAATGGATACAATGGTCCCGTCTGGCCTAGGAATTTAACAAAGTAAATTGCCTTAAATCAAACTCTACTAAATTCTCCAGCAGCATTTTCCTTGCTTTGTCCAGCCATGAATTTTGACAATTATCACTGGAAATACTGTTTGCCAGAAGTTGGAAATGGGATGGCTCACTTGATGATTCCCTGTTCTGTTCATTCCCTCTGGGGCACCTGGCACTGGCCACTGTCAGAAGACAGGATACTGGGCTAGATGGACCTTTGGTCTGACCCAGTATGGCCATTCTTATGTTCTTATGAAATAGTTTTTCCTTGCTTTGTGCATGTGCGATGAAATTGATGTTTCCCGACATTCACCAATAGCAGTCGAATCCTATCTATAACATATTGTCCTCTATATAGGTAGAGCCCTGCCAAATTCACGGTCCATTTTTGTACATTTCACGGCCATAGCATTTTTAAAATCTTGAATGTCACGGCTTCAGATATTTAAATCTTAAATTTCACGGTGCTGTAACAAAACATGAATAGGTATTTAAAAACGGCAAAATATAAACACGCAAAGCCCTTAAGACTCAGCGTTTCTCAAACTCAGGGTCCCAACCCAAAAGGGGGTCAGATATCTATTGTACGGGGGTCACGGTATTGCCACCCTTACTTCTGTGCTGCTTTCAGAGCTGGGCGGCCAGAGAGCAGCAGCTGCTGGCCGGGTGCCCAGCTCTGAAGGCAGCGCTGCCGCCAGCAGCAGCACAGAAGTAAGGGTGGCAATACCGTGACCCCCCTACAATAGCTTTTCGACCCCCTTTTGGGTTGGGACCCCCAGTTTGAGAAACGTTGTGTACTTTTGTATACTTTTACCCTATAGGACAGAGTAAAAGCACACAAAAGGCCAGATGTCATGGTTCGTGACACGTTTTTCATGGCCGTGAATTTGGTAGGGCCCTAAATATACGGCAGAGCTGTTATCCCCATGTTACAAACCAGAATCTGAGGCCCAGAAACACTAAGGGTGCGTCTACACAGCAAGCGGCAGTCTGCGGCACTGAGTCCCAGAGCCCGGGCTGACAGACTCCGCTCCGGCGCTGAAAATAGCCATGTAGACATTCAGGTCGGAGCTCGGGCTCTGAAGCTAAGGGATGGGGGCGGGCTGTCATTGGCCGTGTAGATGTTCCCTAAGTGACTTACCCAAGATCACACACACAGAGTCCGTGGCAGAGCAGGGAATCGAAGGCTGGTCTCCCCCACCCGAAGCAAAGACCCTCACCACTGCACCAGGCTTGCTCAAACAGCAAGAGCTCACGGCATGTCTACATTACACCGTCAGTCTGGACCCTGGCTTGTGAACAGGGTGTTTCCAAGTCCGTGCTTGAGCGTCTGCACTACATTGTAAATCTGCGCTTATAACTGCTAGCCCCGGGTCTCACAGCCAGGGCAACGCGTCCACACTGCACTCGGGTTTGCAGCTTGAGCTGTGTCCACACTGCAAAACAACAGGGCTTGGACCTGAGCCACAGCGGGACTCGGCCTCTCACCCAGCTAAGTCCTGAGTGCTCGCCGACCCGAGTCAGAATGATTTGTGTGCAGACAGAAGAGGGGCTTGGGCTGAAACCAGAGTCAGAGCCCAGGCTTAATGAGCAGTGTAGACACACCCTAAAAGAACTCCGCAGGGGAAAGATCTCTGGCTTGGATTCTCCAGGTGCAGAGACAAGGGGAAATCTGTAACGAGGCAGGGCTGGGAAAAACTGAGCAGATACTTGCTAGCCAGAGGTGCAAACCTACTAGCCACTGTGAAGGAGAAGTATCTACAGCCCTTCTGCCCCCACTGAAGTCTCTAGGGAGGTTAGCAACTTGGCTGTTTCTGAATGTCCCTCGGGGAGAAGACGGGTGTGTGGTGTGGAAAACGGTCTCTCTCTCTCTGTCTCTCATGAGATCTCTAGGGGCTGAGCTTCTCCCTGCAAAAATCCAAGGCGCTCACGTTCCTTCAGGCCTATCAGACAAACCACTAAGCGAGGGAGAGTGAATCCTTACCCAGAGATATCAGCGTCTCATAATTCTCCTGCATGGCGTCCCTGCGGAGGGCTCTCCGCCAGCCCACTGCACCCTGCAGAGAGGCGCAGACTCCTCATGGAAAGCCACCAGCTCCTGGGGAAAAAAATAAGCATCCCCCACTCAGTACCAGCTGCTCCCTGGAAAATCCCACCAGCACAGGGTGGCAGGCTGGTTGCTCTGCTCTGGAATCTGGCGGCGGTTCCTGAAATCAGCAATGCCCCAGTTTTGGGGGGGACTAGGGCTCCGTCCCCACTCGCGCCAGGTGGCCACCAGAATTTCCGTTTCAAGAGAAATCCTGGGATTTTGAAATTGGCTTTCATTCCGCAAGGAGAAAAATGTCCAAATGGCCTGTTAAAAAACAAACAAACAAAAATCGCCCTCTGTCGGGGCAACCAAAATGTTTTTATTTCAATAAAACTGCAATGTTTCATTTTGATGTGGGCTTTTTAAAACGGTACGTTCTATTGTACTTTATAATAGAACAAAATAAACTTGGGGAAAAATTCAGTCCTTTTGAAATGAAATTTTTGCAGAAATCGACACGTTCCTGCAGAATGTTTTGATGTTGAAGAAATGGCATTTTCTGGTGGGAAAACGTTCTCTTGGACATTTTTTTGGAACTACTCTGTTCCCATCCTCCGACTCTGGGATGTCTAACCCAGGAGAACATGAGGTGGGGTTTCTGTCTCCCTCTAGTGGCTGCACCGTGCAACAGCCAGTGCCCCAGTGTACCCCAGGCTAACAGCATGCGCGTTTTTGTCTCCCTCTAGTGACTGCACTGTGCAACAGCCAATGCCCCAGTGTACCCCAGGCTAACAGAATGTGCGTTTTTGTCTTCCTCTAGTGACTGCACTGTGCAACAGCCAAAGCCTCAAACAGTATATATTGCAGGCTAACAACAAGTGATTTTGCCCCATCCCCCTTACTAGCTTCACCGTGTCCGCCACAGATTATGAGCTACAGAAACTGGGTCTTTAGGTTTACGCCGTCAGATCCAGCCGTCCAGACTTCAATCCTTGTAATATTATATGGACATTTTTATACAGTGTGGAAGGATGACCGACATAAGCCAATGGTTGGGAAGGGATCGAACTCTGAATGCTTCAGGACTTACACTAACCCCTGGCTAAGAGGGTTAGGGAGGGATCTGAATCCACCATTGTCTGCTAGGCCAGTAGTTTTCAGCTGGTGGTCCGGAGATCCCTGGGGCTTCGCAGACTATGTTTAAGGAGTCCGCGAAAGGTTGTCGTTACCATAGGCCACTGGTTCTCAACCTGTGCTCCGCAGACCCCCTGGGGTCCGCAGGTCTAAGATTTCCAAAGGGATCCACACCTGTATTTGAAATTTTGTAGGGATCCTCAAATGAAGAAAAGGGTCGAGAACCCACTGCGCTAGGCAGTTTTCTGGAGCGGCTGATGCCACCAGAAAGGCCCCTGCTCAGCCTGGCAATTCCTTGTCTGTTCCTTGCTGGATGTTTTTAAGACACCCCCCCATGGAGGGATAGCTCAGTGGCTTGAGCATTGGCCTGCTAAATCCAGGGTTATGAGTTCAATCCTTGAGGGGGCCATTTAGGGAACTGGAGTAAAAATGTGTCTGGGGATTGGACTAGATGACCTCCTGAGGTCCTTTCCAACCCTGATATTCTATGATTCTGATTCTGACAACGCCGGGTCTCTTTCTTCCAGTGCAGACCTGGCCCCTCCCAGCAGGACTAAACCCACTGGGACCCCGTGCCAAGGAACAGTGTCTCCGAGCCAAATGCTAGGAAAGGGGCTGTTTGGGAGGGGGGATTTTCCCTGACACTGTCCCCTCTAAGTGGCGGGTCCTCTCCCCCCAGATTGGGCAGGAACTGGCTTTTCCTCTCTCAGCTCCACAGCTTGTCCCCAGGAAAGTCAAGTCTCCCTGGGGTGATGCCAATGGATCGGGGCAGATTGGGTGGGTGGGGGCTGGGAGACTCTTGCCCCCTTTCTGACTCCGCCCCCCCTTTTCTGTCTCCTTCCCCCTCTGCCTGGGAGACTTGGCCTCTGATTCCTGGGCGGGTTTGCTCCCACCCCCTTTCCTGCCCGGCCCCAGCGCTTCCCCCGGGTCTCCCCATCACCTGCAGGCTCCGGCTCAGGGGCTGGTGTGCGCAGAGCCCGGGGCTGGTTCCAGCCCCCGGAGGAGGCCGTCCCCCGCCAAGGGCTGGGCGCGGAGGGGGCTCGGATCCAGGTCGCTCCCCCGGTCAGCAGCGGCTCAACCCCCGGCTGGCTCCCGGAACTGCGGCTGCATCCGTCTCGCCCAGGAAACTCAACCCCCGGAGGTAGCAGCGAGTGCAAGGAAGAAACGCTGCAGCCCGTGCATTAAGTAGGGCCCTCTAGTGGGGACAGCCAAGGGGGGACCCCCCCCCGCCAGCCAAGGGGGGACCCCCCCGCCCCCATCCCCAGGCTCCCCACCCCGGGGACAGAGCTGCCAGCCAGGCAGGAGCCCAGTGCCTGGCGCTTTCACCACACGACGTGATCTTTCATGAGCCACCAATCTTTAATTCCTGGAGACTCCAGGGCCATCCTGGAAGGGTCGGGGCATCCCACACCGCGGCCTCCCCCGGGGCCCCGTCGCCCCCCCGGCCGCGGAGAGCCATCGGGGGAAAGGGCAGTCGCTCCCCCTGGGGTCCCGGCCACAGCCCGGGCGAAGAGAGGTCCGAGAGCTGCGACACGCCGGCAAATCTTCGGGCCCACTTTGGGGTCTCGTTCGAGGGCTTCTCCGCCCGCCCAGAGGTTCCCGCCTCCGGAGACGCCCGCCCGGGCTCGCTCGGAGCTTATAGCGTCAGAGAAACGCAGGGCCGGGAGAAGTCAGCCCTTAATACACTGGAACAGTGGTTCTCAACCAGGGGCCCGGGGCCTGCTTGCGGGGCTGTGAGCAGGTTTCCGGGGGGCCACCAAGCAGGGCTGGCATTAGATTCGCTGGGGCCCAGGGCAGAGAGCTGAAACCCCACCGCCTGGGGCCAGTACCGGGTTTACAATGGCACCAGTGGTGCCATGGAGCCAGGCCCATGCTCAGAAGGGGTCCCAGCCTGCTCTGCTTGCACTGGGCCCCGAGACCCTGCCAGCCCGCTTGCTCCCTCCCCCACCCCCACTTACTCCTCTCGACCGGCCAGCCAAGGGCTCCTCTCCGCTCCCTGGCCCCACTCGCCGGCTCCTCTCTGCTCCCTGGCCGGACCCCAGCGCATCTCCGGCTCCGGGCAGTCTCTGCTTCCCACCACCTGTGTGGCCCCACCTGTCTCCCTGTAGCTGAGCCACCTGGGACTGGTGCAGAAGCCTGGTCAGGCTCGGTCAGTTGGAGGGGGGCAGTGTGGAGGGCTTGGCTGGGCTGCTCCAGGCAAGTGGGTCCTGAGGAAGCCCGGCTGGGGCAGGCCCTGGCCTGGCTGATCTCACCACTCTTGAGGGGCTGGAGCGATTCCTGGCCCCAGGACCAGCCCTGGCTGCACTGCCGGCTTAACCTGGCAGCCACAGTCACCTCCCAGCAGGGCCAGTGAGTGCGGCCGGGAGGCAGGGCGTGGGGGAGGGGGTCTCTGGGGGGCCTGTGTGTGGGGGTGCTGGGGTATGAGGGAGTGGGGAAGATCTGTGTGTGTCGGGGCACTAGGGAGTGGGGGTTCTGTGGAGGGTGCTGGGCAGTTGTGGTGAGGCAGTGGGCAGAGGGGCGCTGGGCAGGGGTGGTGTAGTGCAGGGTGCTGTGAATTTGTGAGAGGGTCTGAGGGCGATGCTGGGCATAGTGGGTCTGGGGGGGGCTCTGGCCATAGGGAGTTGCAGGGCCGCTGTTGGGCAGGGGTGGGGGCTGTGTGGCATAGCATGGGCCCACCTCCAAGGGCAAGGGCGCGCTGGTAGCACAGGGCCAGGCGGCCCACTGTGCATCTGGCAACTGCCAGTTTGTCCTCACACTAGGTTGGGCGGAGCAGGGATGCCCCCGCCATGCCATGCCCCATTGCTACCGGCCGGCCCCTCATTCTGGAGACTGACCTGTCTGTGCCAGCTCCATTGTCCCCAAGGGGAACCACAAATATATTTGGCGCTGGGCCCACAAAAGGTGAATCTGGCCCTGCCTCGGGGCTGAAACTCGGGGCCCTGAGCCCCGCCACCTGGGCTGAAGCCGAAGCCAGAAAGGAAAAGGTTGAGAACCCCTGCATTGAAAGGCTGTAAACATGCCCAGGTTTTTTTTAACCTTTCCTTCTAGGGCAGGTTTTCTAAACCTCTGATCCTGTTTGTTGCTCTCTTCTGGATCCTCTCCAATTTGTCCACATCTTTCTTAAAGCACAGTGCCCAGAACTTGACACCGGATTCCAGCGGAGGCCTCCCCAATGTGGAGCAGAGCAGGACAACGACCTCCCATGTCTTACGTACGACACTCCGGTTAATACACCCCAGAAGGATATTAGCCTTCCTCACAGCTGCCGTCACATTGTTGGCTCATATTGAATTTGCGATCCACTAGAACCCCACCTCCTTTTCAGCAGTACAGTTGCCTAGCCAGCTAGTCCCCCACTTTGTACCTGTGCATTTGATTTTTCCTTCCTAAGCGTAGCATTTTGCACTTGTCTTTATTGAATTTAATCTTGCTGATTTTAGGCCAGTTCTCCCCTTTGTCAAGATCCTGTGTTTTAAAACAGGTTTAAAACAAACAAAAGGCAGTATTTCTTCACACAGCGCACTGTCAACCTGTGGAACTCTTTGCCAGAGGATGTTGTGAAGGCCAAGACTATAACAGGGTTCAAAAAAGAACTAGATTAGTTCATGGAGATAGGTCCATCGATGGCTATTAGTCAGGATGGGCAGGGATGGTGTCCCTAGCCTCTGTTTGCCAGAAGCTGGGAATGGGTGACAGGGGATGGATCACTGGATGATTCCCTGTTGTGTTCATTCCCTCTGGGGAACCTGGCATTGGCCACTGTCAGAAGACAGGATACTGGGCTAGATGGACCTTTGGTCTGACCCAGTATGGCTGTGCTTATGTTAATATAATATAATTATAATTAATATATAATATAAATGAACAGAATGTTTTTATTGGCCTGAAACAATTTTTCCATTCGGCAGGAAATGTTGAACTTTTTTTGTTTGTTTTCATTTCAGAACAGAAACAAATTTCAAAATCGCGGCATTTCCCCTGAAACGGAAAATTGGGTTCCCACCCAGCTTTATTCATCAGCCAGCCCCTTCTATTGCATTATGCATTGCAGCCACTAGGGGGCGTCGCTTTCACATGTATTCACCAGTGTATCACAGAGATGACCGAATTTGGGACGGAAATCCCCCCCCCCCAACCACGGCCCAAGTTGGGCTCTGGGTTTGGGTCAGTTCTGATGAGCTCTGATCAGCATATGAGAGATTCCTTTTATAAGAAATCCCACAGCATGGGTTATCAACGTGGTTTGAACCTACGATCATTAGCAATGCGGCACCGACCTCTGCCACTCCAGCTAAAGGCTGGGCTCCGTTAGGCGGTAGTAGTAATAGGCCATTATCCTGTATGTGTTGCCATCACTAGCGGAGAGGGATGCAGCACAAGTGTGTTTTTGACAATGTCTTACACTGGAAATTCTGTCTGGTGTACCCACCGCCCCCGTTTCTCCCTCCTCCACCTACAGAACCGTTCGGAAGTATGTCAGAACAATTGGCCTGGCATTGAACCGTTACTCTGACAGGAATGGCGAGGCCCGGTACCTGGTGAATAAAGTCTGGGCCAGGGTCAGCGAAGTGGAGAGGAACCCGGACGTTCTGGGCCATCCTGTGCGACTCTCAGAGCGAGGGAAATCCTCCGTGGAGCTGTTCTACGAGGCTCTGAGAGATGCGAGGCCTTCGCCCCGTTATACAACACAGTGCTGCCCCATTCTCCGGGTCTCTGATGTACTCCCTTTTCCTGCTATCTGAGCACCCCTGGGAGGTCGGGCAGTGCCATTATCCAGAAGTGAAACGGAGAGGCTTAAGTGACTTGCCCAAGGTCATCTGTGGCAGAGCAGGAATTGAACCCACATCCCCAGACGTAACTGAAAACGGAATGATCATTGCGCGGGGGTGTTTCCAATGGGGTCCCGCTGGGATTGGTTCTTGGGCCTACTATAATTTAAGACTTTTATCAACGACCTGGAAGAAAACATAAAATCATCATGGATCAGGTTTACAGATGACACAAACATTGGGGGTGTGGTAAATAACGAAGAGGAGAGGTCACTGACACGGAGCGATTTGGTAGACTGGGCCCAAGCAAACAATATCTATTTTAATACAGTTAAATGTAAACATCTAGAAACAGGGATGCAGGCCGTACTTACAGGGTGGGGGACTCTAACCCGGGAAGCAAGGACTGAAAAAGATGAAAGGGTCATGGTGGATAACCAGTTGAACACAAGTTCCCGGTGCGACACTATGGCGAAAAGGGGTAATGTGATCCTAGGATACGTAAACAGGGAAATCTTGAGTAGAGTTCTATCTCCAGCGCTGGGAGGGGAGTGGGATCTACTGGTTAGTGCAGGGGTCAGGGGCAGGGCTGGGAACCAGGACTACTCAGCTCTCTATCTAGCTCTGGGAGGGGAGGGGAGTCTAATGGGTTAGAGCAGGGGTGGGGTGGGGTGGGAGGGGCTAGGAGGCAGGACTCCTGGGTCATACTCCCAAAGCTGTCATTCAATTAACATCTCAGCTTCCCCATCCTGAGCCCCTTCCTCCCTGGTAGGGCTGCACCGTGCTAATTGGCTTAATGAGCATTTGTAAAACTATGGGCGATCCCAAGATTAAAAGGTCCCATAGCAGCGCAAGGTGTTATTATTATTAATCAGCATAATTACTCCCTGAACCGCATGAGCGTCTGGGGAGTGGGACACCTGGCAGCCCGGGAGGCGAAGCCAGGATGGACGCGCGGTCCCGAGCCGGAGACACGGCCCTGTGGCCGCAGCCAGGGCTGTCCCAGTCTGTCGGACCCATCTTTCCGGTTCCTTTAGGGCTCCATTGATTTCCTCTGGACCCTTAAGGAAGATGGCGCTGGGCGGGGAAGGAGGCTGAAGAGAATAAAAGCCACCTGATGCTTAAGTGGGAACGGGGCCAGATGGCCCCAGGCCTGCTATTGTTAGAAGGAGACTTGGGGTAATTTACGTACCTTCAGTGTTTAGGGTCCAGTGCGTGGATAGTTCATTATTCTTTGTCAAGGTCCAA